GCCTGGGTGACAGAGACTGTCTCAAAACAAAATAAAAGGGCCTGTTGCTGGGCATGGTAGCTCACACCTATAATCCCAACACTTTGGGAGGCTGAGGTGGGAGGATCGCTTGACCCTAGGAGTTCAAGACCAGCCTGGGCAACATAGCAAGACCCTGTCCTTAAAAAAAAAAAAATTAAAAGGCCTGCCGTGCCTCTTTCCTTGCCTACAGGTTGAAACAGACACAGCCTTTCTACTTTTCTCAGTTGCTAGTTGGTCAGAGCGCCCTCATGTGTCTCCATATGGTAATACCCTAAGTCTGTTACAGGATGTGGCATTCTTTTAATCTCAGTATCAATAAAATGTGTAATGGAAATTTTTTTCCCTTCACACTTCAAAGCCCATGCTTGACTCTCGGGCTCCAATTAAGCCATTCCAGCTTGAGTTTAGGCAGGTTTCCTGCTTCCACTCAGGCCTACAGATTTCTTCCTGCTCCCTGCCCACCCCCTTTCTCCTTGGTCATTTTTAGAAGCCCTGGTCTCATGGCTCACACATGTCAACTTGGTTCTACCACTTTCTACTCTTCCAAGCTCAGTAAGCTCTCAAAATAAGATTGTAAGTTCTTTTTTTTAACTGGTTACATCAGGTCTTACTGCAGGATTGGGCGGGGGGTGGAACGGTGTGGGTAATTCCAAAGTACTAGGAAATAATTTTTAAAGTGTTTACCAAATATGACTTGTTCCATAGTCTAAGGAAAAGGGATTCAAAATGAGATCTCGTGTAAAGGTCTGACATTTGGGAAGGGGAAAGTGATGTTTGGCAGTGTACATACACACAGACACATACACTGATACACACAACCAGAGACAGTGATGCCGGGTACACACACATACCACTCAAACATCCATTCTTGCACACACATTCCATGCAAATAGAGAGAAAGGAGCTCTCTCTCTCTCTCACGGCTTTTTCATTGAGAACCATGATGATATCAGCACAGGTCTTTGGAGGAAAGGAAATTTACATTCTATATCTGGAACCTCAACAATGTTCCAGCTGGGTGTGGTGGCTCACGCCACTGGGTGTGGTGGGAGGCCAAGGTGGGTGGATAACTTGGGGCCGGAAGTTCGAGACCAGCCTGGTCAACATGGTAAAACCCCGTCTCTACTGAAAATACAAAATTTAACTGAGCTTGGTGGTGCACGTCTGTAATCCCAGCTACTCAGGAGGCTGAGGCATTAGAATCGCTTGAACTGGAGAGGCGAAGGTTGCAGTGAGCCGAGATCACACCACACTGCACTCCAGCCTAGGCAATAGATGGAGACTCCGTCTCAAAAAAATAAAAGAAAGGATAAAAAAAAAAAAAGAATGTTCCCCATTCCCTCCATGACCAAGGGTTATGGACGCCTGAGGAACTTTACTTCCCATATTCCACACATCTGCCTCTCAACTGTTTTGCACTTCTGGATTTTTCTGAATCCATAAGCCCCCCTGGCAAACTCCACTGAGAGCCCAAGGATACACGAGCCTTTGGCTTCACCCAAGGGGCATGTTTCTGAGAAGTTGCATGTAAATTAAATTTTTGCAGATCAACTATGATTTCCTGCTGACATCCACTAAGATTTCTGAGCTGCTCTCTTCATCAAGAAAGATTTTCAACGTATGCCTAACACATCAGCTTCTCTGTTCCTCTGCCTTCTGCCATGCTCCCTGAGTTAGTTAAACCTCATCTGGAAAATAAAGGCCAATGAAACATTAAGATCTCTTCTAGTTCTTTTTTTTTTTTTTTTTTTTTTTTGAGACAGAGTCTTGCTCTGTCACCCAGGCTGGAGTGCAGTGGCGCGATCTTGGCTCACTGCAAGCTCCGCCTCCCGGGTTCACGCCATTCTCCTGCCTCCGCCTCCCAAGTAGCTGGGACTACAGGCGCCACCGCGCCTGGCTAATTTTTTTTTGTATTTTTAGTAGAGACGGGGTTTCACCATGTTAGCCAGGATGGTCTCGATCTCCTGACTTCATGATCCACCCACCTCGGCCTCCCAGAGTGCTGGGATTACAGGCATGAGCCACCGCGACCGGCTGATCCCTTCTAGTTCTAATAGTCCAAGATCTAGTAAATAAACCCGCAAATATATTAGAGAGGCTGCTATTTGGAAAAGGCATCAGTATTACTACAATTTGCAATGCAAATATCTACTCTACCTCCAGCTTTTTGGAAAGTCATTTCCCAGGGCTTGAGGGGTTTTGCCCCACTCCCTTGGAGGGGTAGCAGATGTTTCACATAACTGGCGTGTTAATTTTAGGTGGGTGGGTACTCTCCCTTCTGTCTTCCACTCCTTCTACCCTACTCCCTGCTACCAAATTCCAGATATCCTCTCTACTAAAATAGAGATGGGTGTTGCGGTTCTGGGGAGTGGTGTGTGCAGCTGGTGACCTAGGGTAGAAAGCACTTGCTAATTAAAGATGAAACAAGTTGCAAAGGAGGCACCATGGCTTTGGTCTCTAGCAGCAGAGTTAAGCAAGGGCACATGTATCATGGGTCTGTGGCACTGGTCAGGCGGCTGCCTTTGCAATCTTTGAACTGGAAACAGAGATATTATTCATGCTGATAGGGAAGAGAGTTGCCTGCTTAGTGGTGAGGAAAATTAATAGTCCAACCATTCTTCCATCCTGCATTCTCCATGCTGGCATTTTGACTAAAAAAAAATATTGCTGCAGCTGTTTGCATATTCTGGAAGTGTGTGTGCATGTGTGCGGTTTGGTGTTTACAGATTTGGGGTTGCGGAGAGGAGTCTCCAGAGCAACGGAAGTAGCTGCTTGTCAGTCAGGATTCATTTTGAAAATGAAAGCCTGAAAGCTTGGGGCCCATTCTGGGCCTAGGCCTGGTCTCTGAGAAGTCACCGGAGGCCAGGAGGTGGTGGCTTTGGCCAGTCAACTCAGTGAATAAGCCACTGAATCCCTTTTTTAAAAAATGAATTGACCAAATCTATGAGTTGCTTTTGATGTCCTGCAGATTGGAGTCTGGGGCAGGGATGTGGGAGCAGGCACTGAGGTGCTGGCTGTGGATACACGTCCCCCACCCCCAACATACACACACACAATCACGTTTTCCCAGGCTGCCAAACCAGAACAAGGTAACAAATATTTCTTGGGTAACTACTAGGTGCACAAGGACAGTATGACATAGCTGTCCAAGAGTTTCTAGTTTGATTGGCATGTGAGAGCAATGGGAGAGAGATGTAACACATGGCAGTCTGGGTGCCAAAGAAGTAGCAGAAACACAGGGCTGGGGAAAGAGAGGGATCACTTCGGGCTGGGATAATCAGAGGAGGCTTGCTGGAGGTGGAAACTAAGCGCAACCTTGAAAGAAAAGAACTTCACTACACAGAAGCTCTTCCAGGCAAAGGAGTGTAAGTTATAGGTACGCTCAAGTTACAAGTCTATCCTTTTGGCTGGAATTTGGGGCTTGTATGTGATTTGCAGTTGATAAGCCAGGCTTGAATGCCAGTTCCTGTGTACCAGAACAAAGGCTATGGTGTCGCACAGACCTGCTCTGCCACTTCCTGCTGGGTGACCTTGAGCAAGTAGCCTAACCTCTCTGCAAACTGGGGACAGTAATGACTCCTAGCACTTGAGGTCATTGGGAGGATTAAAAGAGTTAACATATATAACGCAACGAGCACAGTGCCTGGCACATAGTAAATGTTCAAAACCAAATTACAAATGTATAAGCTGTTCTGAAGGAAAGCTCTAGATATTTAGGACTTGTTCCAAACACGTGAGGGCCAAGAAAGAAAAGCTTCTGACACCTTCTGTCACTGCTGCCACAGGTAGCCCCGGGGGAGTGGGCTGACTTGGCCTGAGCCTCCATCCCCCTTGGCCTAGACTGCTGGAACAGTCTTCCGACTTCCTGCCTCTGCACCTCCCAAATCACCTTTTTAACACAACCTCCATCATGGCTGTGTCTCTCCCTGGCTCAACAATCTTCTCTGGCTCCCCGTTGCTCACTGACTGAGCTCTTTAACATGGTGGGGGTGTGGAGGCAAGAACTACCATTTACTAAGGGAAGGGAAGAGCAAAGAGTACGCTGGTATTAGCAGTAAAAAAGAAAAAATATCCTTTTTTTAAAAAGCTCCTAAGCTTTGAATTTGCAGAAAGCGGGGTCCTGGGGAGAGAGCAGGGATGCATCTCTAAAGAGAACAGGGCGCTCCCGTGGCTCCAGCTCAGATTCACCTGTAGCTGCTTCTCCAAGCCAACCTGGGAAAATTGACGGGAGGGAAGAGGGTGGAGAGCTGGACAGAGAGGGCGGTGCAGAAGGGGAATATCCCACCCCAGTTCCCTGGAAGAGCGTCAGCCTGGACCCCGGTCTTGGGCTTCTCTGCTGGAATCCTGGGCAGCCCCGGGCGCCGCGGGGAAGGTCAAGGCCGCAAAAAGCGCAAGGCAGGCAGACGAGCCAGTCACAAGGGGCAGTCGAGCTGCCTGCGTGAATGCTAGGCGCGGGACAAAGGCAACTCCGGGACAAAGTGCAGGGAGACTCCTGAAGAGATAAGAGGGAAGGGCGAAGGAAGGGGGCGGGGAGCCAGAGCCTCGGAGCTCCAGGACCGCGCTTTGGGAGGCCATGGCTGGAAGCCGAGCTCGGCCCGCTGCGGAAGGGGCGCCCTCGAGCCTCTACACCCTAGCAGCGGCTGGGATGCTGAGAACCGGGGCTTCCAGGGCCACAGGCGAGCTCCCAGCCCGTCCTCGCGCCCGCCCCTCGGTGCTGGAGGCGGGGCTGCAGAGCTCACCTGGCCGTTTGGGGTGGGACCGCCCACGACCCGGGGGAGCTGCAGAGGCGGCGGTACCCAGGGCGCTGGAGCTGAGCTTGCCCTGGGGGCTTGGCTGGAGCTCAAACCCCTCCACGGCCCCCAAGGCCTGAGCGGGGGCCCTCCCCTAGCTCCCTCCCTCCTCCTCCTCCTCTCCTTTGCTCCCTCCCTCTGAACCCAATTGCTCAAGCCGCTTCCTTCCCCAACGCCAGCGCCAGTTCCTCTCCCGTTGGGGCCCGAGAAGGGCAGCGAACACTGGACACTGGGACGTCCGCGGCGGCAGCTTGCAAGACCATGGCCCAGCCCGGAGGGGCCACGAACCGGGCACCCACGGCCTCTCTCGCGCCGACCGCGCAGAGCCTGCGGTGCGCCCCGCAGCCCCGCCCCTCGAGAGCGGACACTGGTAGCCTGGGCAGGTACTGGGGCAAAGCCGCAGCCACTGCTTCCCGGGAGCCCCCCTTCCCAGGCACGCTGATGCACTCTGGAGCGGGCTCAGGGCGCCGGCGGGTAGCGCTGCGGGAACTGCTGGGGCTGCAGCGGGCGGCTCCTGCCGGGTGGCTGTCGGAGGAGCGCGCCGAGGAGCTGGGCGGGCCCAGCGGGCCGGGCAGCAGCAGGCTGTGCCTGGAACCGCGGGAGCACGCGTGGATTCTGGCGGCCGCCGAGGGCCGCTATGAGGTGCTGCGGGAGCTGCTGGAGGCTGAGCCGGAGCTGCTGCTGCGGGGCGACCCGATCACCGGCTACTCGGTTCTGCACTGGCTGGCCAAGCACGGGCGCCACGAGGAGCTCATTCTAGTACACGACTTCGCCCTACGCCGGGGGCTGCGGCTCGACGTGAGCGCCCCAGGCAGCGGCGGCCTCACGCCCCTCCACCTGGCGGCCCTTCAGGGCCACGACATGGTCATCAAGGTGCTGGTGGGCGCCCTGGGTGCCGACGCTACGCGCCGCGACCACAGCGGCCACCGGGCCTGCCACTACCTGCGGCCCGACGCGCCTTGGAGGTTGCGGGAGCTGTCGGGAGCTGAGGAATGGGAGATGGAGAGCGGCAGCGGGTGCACCAACCTGAACAACAACAGCAGCGGCACCACTGCGTGGAGGGCCGCGAGCGCAGTGGGCGCGACGGCTGTGGAGACAAGCAGAAGAGCGGCGGCGTCGCGGACCAAGGCGAAGGACACCGCGGGCAGCCGGGTGGCGCAAATGCATGTCCTTTTCCGCCATCTGTTCCCCTCATTCCAGGACCGTTGACAGGGACAGAGACTGGAGAGCTAGGAGGGGCCGCGACGCTGTGGCGATGGCTAGGTCCTGGGTTGTCCCGGGTTCCACCGAAGGAGAGGCGCCTTGGACGCTGCTTGGGCCTGCAAGGAACAGAACATGTCGGGGTCCAACTCAGGTACTTGTCTCAGGTCTCCTGTAACCACCGGCCTGGAGGACCTGGGGACTTGGGCACCACCTCACCAAGAGAGAGTGAAGGACCAAGCTGGCCTGGCTCCGAGTTCCAAAGCTACACGACTAAGGAGTTGGGAGAAGGGATCGTGGTCTTGCTTGGGAGAGGGCAAGTTAAGCTTCCAGTGGCCATTTCTGGGCAGGCCGACGCGCAGGGTTTATTAGGAAACATTCTCTAGAAGAATGAGTTAAAATTGCATACCACCAATGCAGAGAAAATGCCTCACTCTGCCGGCCTGGCTCGGCCATTAATGGGGTCTTGGGGTGCGGGTAGAGTCAGCCTCTGACAACCTCCTCCTGAGACGACCAAGCCTTAACTGGTACTTTTTCTCATGTATCACAGGTGACTTCTTATGTATATTAAAGTGGAATATGTGTTCTTTTCACATGACAAGGCTGTCCTTTTAGTGTTTTCCCCCACCTCCCTTACTAACCACAAAGGAAGAAGCTGCATATGTTTGCAGGGTAGAGGTCACCCACCCGTGGCCATGATCTCGTGCTCCAGGGCAGGCTTTGGGCCTCCTTCTCAGAACAAATGGCCAGAGCTGTGCAGGGAAGAAGCTATTTCCCCCTTGGATCTGAGGAGAAACACACAGTTCACCTCTGTCCTGAGCTCCTTGATGGTCTGGCCTCAGGCACCAGCCTCATCCTAGAAGAGTTGTCCTATAGGGGCCTTGGGTTAGGGGGTAAAAGGCAAAAGTTTCCAAATTTACATTTCTGATATTTCCACGATGAGTCATGTAATTTACCTTGATTTGTGGCCTCTAATGAGACACACCCATGGGCACTTTTTTTTTTCCAAGATGGGGCTTTCTTCAGCTTTTCAGCAGCATTTATTTATTTATTTATTTATTTATTTATTTATTTATGAAATGGAGTGCAGTGATGCAATCTTGATTCATTGCAACCTTTGCCTCCTGGGTTCAAGCAATTCTCCTGCCTCAGCCTCCCAAATAGCTACAGGCGTCCACCACCACGCCCAGCGATTTTTTTTTTTTTTTTTTTTTGTATTTTTAGTAGAGATGGGGTTTCACTATGTTGGCTGGGCTGGTCTCGAACTCCTGACCTAGTGATCCACCTGCCTCAGCCTCCCAAAGTGCTGGGATTACAGGCATGAGCCACCACGCCTGGCCAGCAGCATGTATTTATTGTTACTATTATTATTATTATTTTTTGAGACGGAGTCTCACTCTGTCGCCCAGGCTGGAGTGCAGGGGCGCGATCTCGGCTCACTGCAAGCTCCGCCTCCCAGGTTCGCGCCATTCTCCTGCCTCAGCCTCCTGAATAGCTGGAACTACAGGCGCCCGCCACCACGCCTGGCTAATTTTTTGTATTTTTAATAGAGACGGGGTTTCACCATGTTTGCCAGGATGTTCTCGATCTCCTGACCTCGTGATCCACCCGCCTCGGCCTCCCAAAGTGCTGGGATTACAGGTGTGAGCCACCGTGCCCGGCCACTATTATTGTTTTTTGAGACAGAGTCTCGCTCTGTCGCCCAGGCTGGAGTGCAATGGTGTGATCTAGGCTCACTGCAACCTCTGCCTCCTGGGTTCAAGCGATTTTCCTACCCCAGCCTCCAAAGTAGCTGGGATTACAAACGTGCACCACCACGCCTGGCTAATTTTTGTATTTGTAGTAATGACGGGGTTTCGCCATGTTGGCCAGGCTGATCTCAAACTCCTAACCTCAAGTGCTCCCCTGCCTCGGCCTCCCAAAGTGCTGGGATTACAGACATGAGCCATCGCGCCTGCTCAGCAGCATTTAAAAAATTAAGTTTAAGGCTGGGCACAGTGGCTCATGCCTGTAATCCCAGCATATTGGGAGGTTGAGGCGGGAGTATCCTTTGGGCCCAGGAGTTCTGGACCAGCCTGGGCAATATAGGGAGACCCCGTCTCTACAAAAATATACAAAAATTAGCCAGGTGTAGTGGTGCAGGCCTGTAGTCCCAGCTACTAGGGAGGCTGAGGTGGAAGGATTGCTTGAGCCTGGGAGGTGGAGGCTGCAGTGAGTAAAGCATTCCACTGCACTCCAGCCTGGGTGACAAGAGTAGGACCCTATCTCTCTCTCTCTCTATATATATATATTTCACACGTAAAAATTCTTTTTAAAAAGTTAAGTTTAATGCATAAATTGTAGCTTGCAAAATTGCTCCCATTCAGAAATGGCATGAATTAAATAAGACTACAGGAGGGTTGACTCAGCCTGAAAGGCCAGGAAAGCAGTTGCTGGCTACAGACCCATGCTGCCTTGGAGAACAGTGCATTTTAAAAATAGCACTGTATCCCTGACGGTTTGGGTAGCCCTTGCAATGGACTGTCGCATTCCCCAGCCCTCTCATCCCAGTCCGTGAACACCAGGGAGAAAAAGTCACCACTAACAAACAGCCCAGAAACGCCACCCTGAGCCCATCCATCCATGTTTCCATCTCTGCCTGGTGGCCCTGTTGCCTCTATGCTCAAAACTTTCCTACTTTCCTTTATTTTTTATTTTTGAGATGGCATCTCTCACTCTTACCCAGTCTGGAGTACAGTGGCACGATCATAGCTCACTGCAGCCTCAAACACCTGGGCTTCGGTGAACCTCCTGCCTCAGCCTCCCAAGTAGTTGGGACTACAGGCACATGTCGCCATGCTCAGCTACTTTTTTTTTTTTTTGTCTGTACAGACAGGGTCTTGCTATGTTTCTTAAGCTGTTCTTGAACTCCTGGGTTCAAGTCATCCCCCGACCTTGGCCTCCCAAAGTGCTGGGATTACAGGCATGAGCCACTGTGCCTGGCCTTCCTTTGTCTTTTCTAAATGAACTTCTTTAGTAATTGAAGGAGGGAGGGCTAACAGTTCCTAAATTCTGGCAATTGGCATTGGCATCTGGCATTAACCCTCTCCACCCCTGTGCCCATTTTATAGATGCGAAGAGGCCAACTGATGCAGGACCGTGGTTTCTGTTCCACAACCTCCCCCTTGACAGCTGCCAAGGTGGGTTGGGCTTGGGGAAGGCTGTCAGGGCAGGGCTTTCTGCTGATTCTGCAGGCTCCTGGCTTGGAAGGAAGATTGGTGTGTGCTGAGCATTCACAGGCCACTTATAACATTAGTCCCCTCTTTATAGGAAAAGTATGAACCTAAGCATCTTAACTGTTAGCAGATCTGGGGGCCTGAGACAAGCGTTCACCCTCCTCCTTCCAAAATGAAAACCAAGTTAGCTGGAAGATTCGAAAACGGTTTTCCATAGTTTTCCTGTAGTCAGCTACTCTTCCCCACAGATTTTTCTCATCATGTGATACTGCCTAGCCTACCTCCTCCATGTAAAATTGAGGTTTGGCTGCAGGGGACAAACTCCCATGCTGAAAGCTCTCCGTGCCTCACATCAAGCCGTTGGCATTTCTGGTATGCTTTTTGAGGCAAGACTGGTATGCTTACCCCAAGAGAAAGAGCAAATTCCCCGAGAAACCTCTTTCCAGGGGAGCAAAGTGGAGTTCAGCAGATGATGCAAGACTTCATTCTAGCAGGGGAGCCAAGCAAGAAGAGGAGACAGAAGCAGGGCTGTGATGGATCAGGGGGAGGGGGTGCTGAGGGAGCACAGGAGGCAGGGCCGGATCCAAGTCGAGAGGAATAGAAAAGGCTTTCGTGGAGGAAGGTGGTGCCTGATCTGAGGCTGGAGGGCTGAGTGCGAGTTGACCGTTGAGTGTGGCAAGTACCAGACACTATAAAGGCAGCGGGTTTGGCAGGAGGGTGGAAGCTGGGGAGAGGTTAATGGCAAGGCTGGAGAAGTGGAAGGGGGTCCAGATCACCAAGAGTCTCGAAGGTCATGCTAAAAGAGGTTCATGAAGTTTAGCCAAAAGGTAGTTGGGAGTCATGGAAGGTTTCTAAGCAGAGGAGTAGCATGATGAGATTTTGGAAGATCACTCTGGCAGTCACCTGGAGGATGAATGTGCCAGGGGAGAAAACTGGGGGCAAATGCATCGCAAAAGCAAAACACTTCTAGAGCAATGCTTTCAGAAAAGTCATACTAGCAAGGCTGTATGCCTATAGTTGCTGTTTGCCTGTAGTCCCAGCTACTTGGGAGTTTGAGGTGGGAGGGTCACCTGAGCCCAGGAAGTAGAGGCTGCAGTGAACCATGGTGGTGTCATGGCACTACAGCCTGGGCAACAGAGCAAGACCCTGTCTCTAAGAAAAATAGTCATTCTTCACCCCAAGAAGTTCAAAGATCCCTGTGAGGGCAGTGCCTTTGAAACTTCTCTTTTTTTTCTCCTCCAAAGTCTTTGTTCTAATGAAGCTCACCTAGAATCCTCGTGTGTAAATCTCCCCACCCCCTGCCTCTTTTCTAGACAGACAGTCCTACACCATGGCCCCTGGAGTAAAATTCAAAGCCACTGGTGTGGTGGAAAGCTCTCAGCCTTGCCTGGGTTCAAATCCTAGCTCCCGATTCATGACCTTGAGCTACGTGCTGGCCTCTCTGAGTGGCAATTTCCTCATCTGTGAAATGGGACCAACAGAATCTTTTTTGCAGGTTTGTTCTGAGCATTCAAGATAATGTATGTGCAACATCTGGCACACTGGGTGACACACAGGGAATAGGAAATAACGGCTGTTTGAAAGAATCCTAAGGGGCTCAGCAGGTTCTTGTGGTGAAACTACATTATCTGCTAGGGTAGTCCAGGAGGTATCTTGTGGTTTACCTGCATTATGTCAGCTTTAAAATGAGTTTGCATTTATTGCAAGTTATTTTCCATCTGTGCCAGAGGAGTGACTGTTCCTCAAAGGAGATGTTGGTTCCTCTGCTGATGTTCTTCACAAGCTATATATTTTTACTTTTGACATAACAACCACTTGCTGAAGTGCTTAGCATGGCTAAAAGGGATCCAAGTGCTAATAGTCAAGAGGATGGGAAAAGGCCCTGAAGGCATTTTATAGATCACTAAGGGCAGGCCGGCGCAGTGGCTCACGTGTGTAATCCCTGCACTCTGGGAGGCTGAGGTGGGCAGATCATCTGGAGTCAGAGGTTCAAGACCAGCCTGGCCAACATGGTGAAACTTCGTCGCTACTAAAAATGCAAATATTATTTGGGCATGGTGACGGGTTCCTGTAATCTCAGCGACTCAGGAGGCTTAGGCAGGAGGATCTCTTGAACCCGGGAGGCAGAGGTTGCAGTGAGCTGAGATTGCACCACTGCACTCCAGCCTGGGTGACAGAGCAAGACTCTGTCTCAAAAGGTGGATCGCCTGAGGTCAGGAGTTTGAGACCAGCCTGGCCAACATGGTGAAATCCCGTCTCTACTAAAAATATAAAAAAAATTAGGCGTGGTGGTGTGTGCCTGTAGTCTCAGTTACTTGGGAGGCTCTGAGGCATGAGAATTGCTTGAATCTGGGAGGCAGAGGTTGCAGTGAGCCAAGATAGC